AACTTTCAAAAAATATTTAAAATAGAAAAAAATTCCAAAAGATTGCCAGGAGAAACAAAACAATCTTATACCAAGGATCAGGAACCAGAATAGCTTCAGACATCTCACAAAACTGAAAATGAAGAGACAAAGGAGGGCCAGCCAGATAGTCAGTGGACTAAATGCCTGCTTAGGCAGAGCACAGTGGCTAGGGTTCAAGCCCCAGCATACTATGCTGGCTCCCAGGGCATGATGAGCTGGCGATTAAGACTGGGCATGGTGGAGCGTGCCTGTAATCCCAGCACTTGGGAGGCTGAAAACAGGAGAATCACTACACGTCTGATCTACATAGTGAGACCCTGTAGACTCCTTACCAAATACGCTAAAAAAAAAAAAAAAAAGACAAAGGAACAATGCTTTCAGAATCCACTCCCCAATATGACTTCCAACTTAGGACTTCAATAAAGTGAAATTTGATATTAAGATTCTGTGTAAAGGCAGTCTCAGACACTAAGTTTTCAAAAAATCAAAAAGTCTCCCATGAGTTACATTTAGGGGGCCAGATGAGCAGTTCAGAAGCTGCAGTGTGATACCTTTGGAATCCATCCCCAGCAGTGGAAATAATGACAACAAGAACAATAATATAACTTAGGACCCAAATAGAAAGACCAAATACATTTAATTAAGAGAACTAAAAACCCAGATACTTGATGCATGCTTCACTTACCTTTTGGATTTCTAGGTGAGAGTCAGAATCATCCACAAACTCTGGGGGTAGAGCGGGCTTGTCAACGCCTGTTCTTTGGCCCCCAAGTGGCTCCGCACTGGGTTTCTCCTGAGGGTCTATAACCACTCTCCTGTCGCAGGCGCCCTTGTCTGGTACAGGCCTTTCCTCTTCCACTCTGACCTGTGGTGATGGCGCTCTCTCCTTTCGAGGAGCACTGGTGACAACACTGCGGGCTGGCCCTTCTCGGCTGGGATGCTGTCCCAGACATGGCTTCACTGTGGGGACAGTAGCCTCTCCCTTCCTTTTGGGCATGGATGTTCCCAGGATGCCCTGGATGGCCTTCAGGTAGATGACAGTGGAGCCCTGATCTCGAAGCCTATCCCTTTTCCTCTTCTGGACCTTGTCTGGCTCCGTCACATCATTCTGACCCTCAGCTTCAGCTGCAAACTCAGAGTTGATGGCGTTACGAGAACTATCTTTGGAATCAACCTGGAAGGAAGAAAACCACTTTTCCATGGGTCATCCCAAGAGCACTTGCATGTAGGAAGCACTTGGCACAGTACAAACCTGGATGGTTGCACTAGTCAAAGTACACACCAACTGTGGCTGAGAAAAAGATGCTGTCAAGATGGGGTTCGACCCACCCAGGGAGAGGCACCCCTGCCCACGGGATACCCTCACCTCCTTGGCCCATCAAAAGGTGCCCTCATGCTCAGTGGGAAGAACAACTGGATGAGCAGCCCAATGAAAACAGATCCCAAACTGCTGGAGGCCACACACAAACATCAACTCCAAACCTTCCCACTGAAAGCGCCTGGGCCAGTTCAACCGTCATCTCACAGGCCAGGAATGCTAAGCATTGGGGGAAGGAAAGAGCAGTCCCACAAAATCCCAACTCCCATCAGGTTTCAATCTCCCCTTCTCTTAAAGTTCTTCCCATCTTACCCTGAAACTCCTTCAAGTTTTTTTTTCCTTTTTTTTTTTTTTTTCAGGCCCTGGCAAGCACTTATTCTACTGATCTATCACCCCGGCCCCCTCTTTCAAGTTTCTGCCAACACCTTCCCAAATCACTATCATGGTGCTGGGGAGAGGACCCCTCTCCCAGAGACTGCACCAAGCTCCACCAGGAGTATCTAGTGCCCTTTCACATGTCCCCATCTCTCCAGATACTACCAGAAGTCTCAGACCCTTCTTTCCCTCTCAGGGGAAAAGCTAGACTGTTTCTAGATTTATTAATCTGCAATATTAATTTGCTATGAAACTCAGAGCCAGTCTAGTCACACCAGCTGTAAGAACACTACACAAATCTCCCTCAGAAGTCAGGTGTGGCAGCACAGGCCTATAATCCCAGAACTGGAGAGGCTGAGGCAGGAGGATCACTGTGTTTGGACCTAGTCTAGACCACACAGTGAGTTCAAGGCCAGCATAAACTAACTACATAGCAAGACCCCGTTTCAAAAAATAAAAATAAGGTCTGGAAACATTTGGAACTCCTGTATACAAATGTTAGCATACCTTTTTTTTTTTTTTTTTTTTTTTTTTTTGGGCATTTTTTAGTAAGGGTCTACAGGGTCTCATTATGTAGACTGGACTCGTAGTGTTCAGCCTCCCAAAGATTTGGGATTACAGGCGTGCACCACAACACAGTGTCCAGTCTTAATTGCTGTCTCAGTGTGCCCCAGGGGCAGGGCCAGCAGGATACACTGGGCATCTGTCTTAAGTTACTCTTCTTTCATTGCTGGGCCAAATACAAAATGAAGGAAAGTTTATTTAGCTCACAGTTACTGGAGGTTTCAGTCCATATTCAGCTGGGTCTAAGGCAGAGCAGCACAGAGCAGAAAGCAACCTTTCATGGTAGCAGCAAAGAGCAAGAGCAAAAAGGGAGAGGTAGCAGCAGCTCAAGCAGCCAGCTTCTCTTCCCACCTTTCATTGTAATGCAGATTACCTGCTTCAGGGTAGGTGCAGCCTCCACATCCACAATAATCAATCACAAACTCCAGAAGTTGCCCCAGACTGCTGAAGCTTTGTGGGGACAACTATACACAAACTATAACATTCTGCCTCTGGACCCCCAAAGATTCATGCACATCCCTTTATGCAAAAGCCATTCTAGTCCATCTCTATGAGTTGCCAAAGTCCCAACAGTTTCAGCATTGCTGAAAAGTCCAAGTCCCAAGTCTTCTCCAAGATCCAAGGCAAACTCTCAACTGTGAGACCCTGTACAAATGAAAACTTAAACACTTGCAACATCCAAAGGCACAGGATAAACACTGCCATTCCAAAAGGTACACACAGCAGGACACCAGGCATTGGGACCAACACAAGTCCAAAATCCAGCAGGGCAAACTTTGCAGTTCCATGTGGGACATCTGAAGCAATCTGTGATGAGTTGTAAGTTCCAAAGGCTTTACATGGCTTTACCTCTACAGTACTCGTGGTGGTAGCCCCCCCTGGCTTCTCTCTTAGGCCGGCTTTGCTTCCTCCTTGCAGTTTCCCTCCTTGCAGATGATCCACGTTCCTGGCTTTTCCAGACTTCTGCGGTTTCCACAGAATAGGCTTATCACTCAGTTTCACACACTTCTTTCTCAGGGGCACACCGCCTGGCCTCCCAGGCCTTCCTCTGAAATCGAGGTGGAAGCCTTCTTAAACCTCAGAACTCCTGCATTCTGCGTGCGTCTAAAACCATCACCACATGGATGATGCCAAGGTATGCTGCCAGCTGGAGCAGTAGCCAGGCTTTCCTCTCTCTTGGCTGTGGGAGTGCCTGGATGGCTGAGCATTCTGACCCCAACTCGGGGGAATTATTTCTCCCTGCAGGCACCATTCTAGAACCTGGGGCTCAGCAGCTTTCCCCTCAAGGCAAAGTCCCTAACCTTTGCAGTTCTGAGGCTGCAGTTCTCTTGTGATGCCTTCAGGCCACCCTTTCCATTCTCTGGTTCCTTCCTGGCATTGGAGATCCTTTCAGCTCCACCTTTGCAGTCCACAGCTTTATTGGAGCTTCCTTTCTGGCCAAACTCACATTTTGGCCCACCCTGCTGGGCTCCTTCCTCTTTATTCTCAATATAAATCTGGCTTAAAACCCCCACCAACAACCATGCCACTGCCCCAATATGTGGGTGCTTTGAAATATCTTCTGCCAGATTGATCAGTCCACCATGCTTAAACTCACCCTCAGGCAGTCTCTGGGCACAAACACAATGCAGACAAAGCTCCTGCCAAGTGGTAACAGACACTGTCCGGAGCCCAACAACCAACGCAGTCCTTCTTCCCAGGAGAAACTTCCCCAGCCTGGTCTTGACAGGCTGGCTTTCTATCAGCCTTCTGGTCTTCTGAGCTCGGACCAGAATCTCCCCTACAGAAGAGCTGAAGCTGTTCCAGCTCTTCACAAGTAGGCAACCTCTCCGAATCTTTCCTATCTCTTCCCATAAGCCATTCCCCAAAGCTGGTAATCCACATCGTCAGGTTTAGCCACAGCAATGACCCCACTCCTCCGGTACCAAATTCTGTCTTAGTTACTCTTCTCTCGTTGCTGAGACAAATAGCCCACACCCAAAATGATGGAAGGAAAATTTCTGGAGGTTTCAGTCCATATTCAGCTGGGTCCAAGGCAGAGCAGCACATAGCAGAAAGCAACCTTTCATGGTAGCAGCAAAGAGCAAGAGCAAAAAGGGAGAGGTAGCAGCAGCTCAAGCAGCTAGCTTCTCTTCCCACCTTTCATTGTAATGCAAAGTACCTGCTCCAGGGCAGGTGCAGCATCTACACCCACAATAATCAATCACAAATTCCAGAAGTTGCCCTAGACTGCATGAGGCTTTGTGGGGACAACTATATACAAACCGTAACAGGATCAAACTGCGAACCAGCTGCTGTGTCTGCTACACAGGCGCTTTAATCCACTGAGCTTTGATTTTGAACCTCTCTGAATTTACTTGAAGTTTCTAATCCATGAATTTTTAAAGCCAGGTATAGTGACACTGGCATATAATCCCAGCACTCAGGAGGCTCACCACAGGTTCAAGGCCACCTGGGCTACATAGTAAGTTCAATGTCACTCTAACATGTGCAACAGGACCCTGTCTCAAAAAAATAAAAAAAGAAAAAGAAAAATTCTTTAACATGTCTCTATAGGGAATATCTGGGAAAGGGAGGTGATGTGCCATTTTTATTTTCTTAATATTTTCTAATTTAGGGAAATCTAGGGGTTGAGATGTGTAGTTCACTGGTAAAGCAGGAAGATCACAGGGTGGTCACATGGGTCTTGAGTCCAAGGAAGTTTGGGTGGGATCAAACCAAAGGGCCTCCACACCCTAAGGGTACACATGACAGCTTTCTATAAAACAGGGATCAGAGGCAATGGCAGCTCTGTACATTACAAGTGCATGTGAAGACACAGGACATGTTACTACACCCTAGCCTTTCTACCCCACTAGAGCCTTGTCCCAGAGTCACAAATATTTGGCCTGTCTTTGGGGGGAGGTGGGGTGTGTGCACACCCACGTGTGAGCCCACATGTGATGCTGGGGCTCAAATACAGAGGTATGGGGATGCTAAGCACACCCTATCTATAACACCAGCCCAGGGTCACCTATCATCATCATTATTACTCTGCAGAGTCAGAGATTGAACCCAGGGCTTCATATATTAAGCAAACACTACCAAGTGTGTTAAATCCCCAGCTCTTTTTAAATTGTTCTGTAAAATCTATTTATTTATTTATTTATTTGGTACAGGGTTTCACTATGCAGCTCAGACTCCAGACTCCCAGTGGTCCTCTTGTCTCCATCTCCATAGCACTGGCATTACGGGTATGCACCACCATGCCCAGTTTCGGTGGCGTGTCATGCAGTACCAGAGATCAAACCTGGGTTCTTGTGTTTGCCAGGCAATTGCTTAGACGGCCATTTTTATATTCTTAGATAGGCTCCTCAAACTGCTTAGACTGGTTTTAAACTTGTAATCCTCCTGCCTCAGCCTCCCAAGTAGCTGGGATTACGGACATGTGTCATTATGCCTGGCAGTCTTTTTTGTTTTGAGACAGGATCTTGCTATGTAATGCAGGCCAGCCTCAAGCTCACAGTAATCTTCCAGCATTAGCCTCCTGAATGCTAAGATCACAGGCATGTATCACAACACTCAACAAAGTGATCAAATGTTTAAAGTGACTTTTCTAAAATTTTTAAACACTATATTTAGAGGGCACAGCAGGCCTCATTCCATCTGAGCATCTGCTATTTGCTAGTCCTGGCTGTGAAGACCAAGGCTATAGCGGGGATAGGTAAGTTAGGGTGTACTAACATGCCCTGTGTCTTCACACAAATTTGTAATGTGTGAAGAGCTGCCATGCCCGTGATCCCTGTTTTACAGAAAAGCAAACTGCCACATAGCTTCTAAGTGGCAGAGCTAAGACTCAAATTCAAGTTTTCCTAGCAACCTCAACGCAATGGGGTGGATATATAACACAAAGGTGCTTTGGGTTGAACATCCAAAAAATGAGACAAACACCTAGCATCAAAAAGTACAGATCTCTTATTTCCTGGCAGAACTGCTAGGTGAACTGTACACTCTAAAGATATAGCAAGTGGACAGGTCATTCCAGCCTTTATCAACAAACATACTGAAGCGAACTAACTATACCTAAAGTGATGTGTCAATCAAGAAAAACGCCCAGCATGGCAGTAAATGTCTGCAATGGCTGGGGTAGCAAGATCCAAGTTTGAGGCCAGTCTGGACAATTTAACAATTCAGCAAGACTGAGAAAAGGACTGGGGTTGTAGTTTAGTAGACTGCTCCTTCTCCCAATCCCAAATTTCTTTGTCGGACTAAAATCTTGCTGCCATTTGTCCCCTACCTTTTGAGCACCCATCCCAGTCATGTCTACTTCCCCAGCCCTGTCACAACACTCTCTGCTCCTGAGACGCCACCTGATAATATCAAATATCACTGGTATTATTATCTGACACTACCCAAGCCCACTTGCATGGCTTAATGGCAAGATTAAATTACATAGGTAGGTGTGTTGGCACACATAATTCCAGCACTCGGGTGGCTGAGCTAGGAAGAGCGCTGTAAAGGTGAGGTCAGCCTGGGCTACACAGTGAATTCAAACACAGCCTAAATGATACAACAAGACCTTAAAAGAAAAAAATTAGGTTACTTGAAAAACCACATTTCCCTGATTGACATCAATTGTAATTTAGTATTCTTACACCAACAACTACTTTTTAAGTCATCATTATTTGTAAATTAAAAAAAAAAAAAAATCCATGCACTTACTGTGTTCAAGACTGTGAGGTCAACATTAAAAAATTTGGGGTATCTAGCCAAATGATGCCCCATGATAAATAACCAAATACAGACTCATTTCTCAGATGCATGTATAAATTCATCTAGGAAGGCTGAAAAACAATCCTAATTCCCTTCAGGCCCACTTTTACTGGGTAAAATAACTACTTCTACTTAGGGGCAGCCTATCTCACTTCAAGTAAGGCTTTTTCTTGACCCTTTCAGATACAGAACTCCTCATCTTTTCTGGGCTCGCTCAAAACCTACAATACAGGCTCCAGGGAGGGGGCAGTATCCAGACACTGCCAGATCCACACCAGGTCCTCAAGAAGTCTCTGTAGGAAACCTGACTGACAACTGGGTAGAATGTGAGGCACTGTTTGCTCCAAGCACTGTGAGGGCCTCCTACATATTTCTAGTGGAGGCTGCTGGTCTCTAAAATAAATCAAAACAAAACAAACAAGGTGGAAGGCTGAGGCTAAAGGATCACAAGTTTGAGGCCAGCCTGAACTACACTGTCTCAAAAAAAAAAAAAAAAAAAAGGTAAAAAGCACAATCATCACAAAACTGCAAAACTCTAAATAAATGCACTGGAAACATGGCTTTAGTGAAGGCCACACCAATAACCAAATTCTTGGTATCTGTCATTCAGAACAGATCAAGTTCAAAGTCCAAGGGCACAGTTCCCTAAACTGACCTGAAACATAAAACAGTTTGTCTCCTACTGCAGGGATGGTCCAGCCTCACAGCACATTTACAAACACCTGGGAAGCATGTGAACATCTGGAAGCCCAGCCCGCACTTGTCTGTCTGATGTGGCATGGAAAGGCAGGCACAAGTATTTTACAGCTTTCCAAGCAGTTCCTAAGTGCCACCAAGTTTGAAAACTATCTCTCCACTCAACTTCGGACACTCCTGAAGATCTGCGGTCTTTCTGATTTGGATAGAGTATTCTATCCTTAGATCTTCAAAGACTTATCTTTTTGACTCCAACCTTATCAACCTCTCCAACCACGTGGCACAGGTTTCAAGACAGCGAGGCACAGTGGCTGCTTACCTTAAGGCTACAGGCGTCCTCCTCTAGAGAAGCCATTTCTTCCAAGGAGGGGCCGGCGGGACGCAGAGGGGAACCCTTGGATGAAGGGCACCCCCGAACTCTCAGATTCAGGTAGCCTCGGGGGCCAACCCCGCCCACACCTGCCCCAGAGGAGCCGGACGAGGCGGAGGAGGACGTGGATGAGGAGGAGGAGGAAGAGGAATTTCTGCGTCGCGAGGAGCTCCGAGGTGGCCTGGGCGCGCAGGCCACATCCTCGTCGTCCCGGGCTTTCAGGCGCGCGGGGCTGCAGGGCGCTCGGGGGTGCTCAGCAGAGCCAGGAGGCGGCCGGCTGGAGGGGGCCACATCACCGGCGCCCCGGAGGCAGCTGCGCTTGCGGGGACGCCCTTCCGAAGGGCTGCTCCAGCGGTGTCTGACCCTGCGCCGCTCCGACGCCATGGGCACCTGGAAGGAGGCAGAGGCGCCTGGGCTCCAGCCGGCCTTTGTGCCGCCCCACTCCCGCCCACCGCCACTGCGGACCGGGGTCCACCAACCTCGCCTCCTGGCCGCCGCCCATCACAGTGCTTGAGGTTCGGAGACACGCCGCGCCGCGGAGACTTCCAGCGAGCCGGCCTCCCAGCCGCGGCGGCCCGGCCCACGCCGAGCCCCCGAGGCCACCCAGCGCTTCCGTGCGCGCGGTGCGACTCGCGACGCCGACGGCTTCCGGAGCGGGAGTCGTCAGAGACGCCTGCGGGCCGCGCGAGGCGACCGAGTCGCGGGCTGGGTCCTGGACGCCGAGGCCGGAGGGCAGGGCCGGTCCTCACGCGGCAGCCCGCCCCAGCCTAGCCTAGCCTAGCCTGGCCCGGCCCGGCCCGGAAGGCCCCGCTGCTCCTCAGGAGCCGGCGGCTCCAAGCCCGACCGCCTCAGCACTGCCCCAGAACCCCCACCTGCGCCGCCCGCCTGCCTGGCCGTCGGCGCGGTCCTAGGCCCGCGCCCGCCCCCGGAAGCAGCCGTGCGGACCGCGGCAGTCGTGCGGCTGGGCGAGGCCTAGACCCACTGAGGGCGCCTAGAGCTCTACGGGAAGGGGCAGGGCTCAGAGCAAGACGCAGCTCTCCTACTGGCCCAGCGGCTCAACCAGTAGGCGGGACTCTACGCCTCCTAAGGCTCTGCCATTGGCTGGTGGGCGACAGGGCGGAGCCGCTCCCGTGAGCCCCCAAGCGCCGAGCCGCGGCCTCCGCGCAGCGCGGGTATGGCGCAGCGTAGTTTCAGTACACCCGACATTTGGTGTGCAGAGTCGCTCGTGGAGCCCACATTAACACCTGTGCGCTCACTACCATTTTACAAAGCAGAAAGATGGGGCTCAAACAGGCAAAACAAACACCTGGACAATGAGCAGATGTGATGGTGCACAACTGCCGTCGGAGGCAGGAGGATCGCCAAATTCGAGGCCCGCCTGGCTACGTAGTGAGTACAAGCCGGCGAGAAACCCTGTCTCAAAAAACCAAGTTCATGATCTTTGGGGGCCATATTACTACGTGTCCAGGGCTGCACGAGGCGCACTATGTTGAACACACCTGGTTGTTTCAAGATTGGCTGACTGGGGAGCGGGGCATAGTGGCGCATGACTAATTCTTGCGGCTGAGGCGGGAGAATCTCGAATTCAGGAATAGTGAGTTCAACTATGCAAACACACATGAACACACATATAACAGCACTGGGGGTAAAAATGGGTGATCCAAAATTTTCTAAAAACATTTCAACTGTCTCAATCTGTTATCATAAAGTGAAGTTTCTGCCCTGTGCAGCTAAACTGACAGACCTAGTATCTAAGGATTTTGGCATGGACAGCCTAGAAGTGTGAACAAGTCTGGAATGCCGATGTAGTCCATACGTTTTCTTGAAAGTACAGTTTTGAAATTAGGATCTTCCTTGTCTCCTTTCCTCCTTTTTTCAGATCCTACCTCAGAGCAATGGCTATGACGGACACACAAAAAAACAAAAACCACCCAGGATACAGGAGTTTGAACTTAAGAGCCTGTGCAGGAATGTGAGAGCTAGGGAACTCCAGCACAGTCCTGTACTGACCTCTGAACTGGGGCTACAGGCACTTGCCACCAGCGATTAGGAGGAAACCAAGGTGAGCTGCGGTGAGGCACAGCCAGGTCCTGCTGTTGGGAAATCCCAGCTCCCTGCACATCGTGTCACAGGCTGGAGCTGCCACCTGCCCTCAAAGTGCCCTCCTCGGATCGGGTCAGGTAACGCCCTGGCCACATAAGATCACACAACCCCTCACAGGAGCCTTCTCTAAACATTTATTTGAACTTCTGAGGATAACCCACTAATATTATAGACTGCTAGACAGTGTTAGATGTTTAGTTGAATTCAAACACTTACAGTATTTATTTTTTTTAATTTATTTATTTATGTGTGTGTGTGTGTGTGGCCAGCTCAGCCCACCAGGGGGCGGGGCTGGCTGGCATGTGGTGCTGGGGATTGAACCGCGGTCCCTGTGCTTTAGCTACAGCTTGTTCTAAGTAGGTGCTTTAGACCACTGAGCCATCTCACCAGCCCACTTATAGTATTTAGATGCCAATAGAATATTCACCTCTGACAGGACAAATAAATAAATAAAAATTAAAGAAAAAAAATGGAAATGGAAGGAAGCAGTCAATGCTCTAATTAGCTTCGTCTCCTTTTTTTCAATTGTCTGTACTTTTCTTAATTTCTTATACTTTGCTCTAGTTTTTTCTTCTTCCAATTGTATGTTTATGTATCTGGTAATATGAATAGCTGGTTGTAAGACAATACCATGTATTACAACAAATACTGTGAAATTCATATTACTTTGTTAAGTAAAATTCTGTATGAGTTGTCAAAAAAATAAAAAAATAAACATTTATTTGGACACAGAAGTCATATGCTATCTACTGGCTCCAGAAACACTATTTTGTATAGAGAAAAAAATTATTTTAACACATTTTTCCTAATGAACTAAAAATAATGTTTCACAAAGATTTGCAATATGCTTTTTAAAAACTATATTCACTGCATAGACATGATGTATGGTAGGACACATTTAACGTCTTTTTATTTTATAAAGCAGAACAAATGCGTTTTCTGCAGCCTCTGCACGCATTCCCCCAACACTAAGGCAGGAGGAAAAAAAGAGCAGGGATCATACAAGGAAACTGAGGTCCCAGAAAGTAAATGATAAACTTCATTAGCAGCGGAATCAGACATAAGGCTAATTCTCCTGGTTCTTCATGTCAACATAAATAACACATCTTCTCAAACAGTTAATGGGGTGGGAGAAGGAAAGCACTGAGCAGGGGGTTAATAAATATCCAAGGATGGCAAGATTACCAATGGGGTGTAGGAAGCCTTCGGAGTCCTCTGCAGGTGTGTGGCATTGGTAAGACTGGTGATTTTGAGCGATGAATCAGAACTGCATGGGGATGCAAGCTGAAAATCATCGTGTAATGGAAGCCTGCAGGTGGTTGTTGGCAAATATGACTCACAGGGTTTAATTCTGGAAAAGATGCTCAGGATTGTAGAACTGCTTGTCAGTTGTCAAGGCGTGAGAGCTGCTAAGGTAACAGCTTCTGCTGAGGTGTCTGCCATCATGGGCTCCACAGAACCTCAAATGACCCACATCCTGGGTCTGTGTACCGGGCTTTTAGCTTCTGTCTCCTGTGACACCTTGCTCTGACCTATAAATCCCAGACAGAAGGAGCACTTCTTGGATTCTTATGTCTGTAAAGCCTGATGTTCTCCCAAGTCTGATAGTGCATCCCTAGGATCCCCAAATGCTAAGACAGGAGGACCCCAAGTTTAAGTCCAGCCTAGGCAATTTAGCAACTTACTGAGACCCTGTCTCAATATAAAAACTAGAAAGGGATGGGATATAGCTCAGTGTGAAGGCCTTGGGTTCAACCCACAGAAATGAACAATAACAAACTGAGGTTATGGCACATACAGTGGTACATACAATGGCACAGGTCCAAAATTCCAGCTACTCAGGAGGCTAAGGCAGAAAAATCACAAGTTCATGGCTAGCCAGGGCAACTTATGGAGAGTATCTCAAAATAAAAACTATGAAGGGCTAGGAATGTAGCTCAGTGGCAGAGTACTTACTTGCCTGGTGCAAGAACCTAGATTGACTCTCCAGTATCACAAAAAAAAGAAAAAAAGAAAAAAGCTGAGTTCTTTCTCCCTAACTCACTGGTGAAAGGGTACTAAAAACCCATGCTTGCTCTGTGTCTTGCCAGGTGCTAATTTCTGCCTCAGCCCTTTTCCTGGATTACACGCTTGTCTTTCCACTTGAGGACAAGAGTCCTCAGCTTCTTCCAGTCATCAGGGTCCGAAAAGCTCAATGCTGTCCAATTTCTCCTCTTTGTAGAGCAAAATATTCTCCATCAGTTTCTGTTTAGCCTCATTTATCTCAATTTTCCATGAAGTCTCTGGAGCTGAAGTTCAACAGAAAGTGAAAAACAGCTTTAACAAAGCTGACTAGTATTGTAGCTTTTAGAAAGTCAGACCTGGAATAGCTAATTCTTGGAAGCAGCCTATTGTCTATCAACAGATTAATGGATAAAGAAAATGAAGCACTGCTTTGCTGTGAAGATGGGTAAACAAAGTCATTTGCAGATAGATGGATACACCTTGAGACTTAATATGTTAAGTGAAGTAAATCAGAAACACAAGCTAAAATATCTCAGAATTTATGAGAAAACAAAACTAAATAATGTAAGAGTAAAATAAAAGACAATGGGAAACAAGGAGATAATTCATTTTTAAATGGGAAGGGGGCCAAGGGGTGAAGGGAGTAGGGAGGGTAAAGCAGGGGGGCTGGGGAGATGGCGCAGTGGAATAAGTGCTTCCGTGGCAAGCGTAAGGGCCTGAGTTCAATCCCCAGTTCTGCCAAAAAAAAAAAAAAAAAAAAAGGAGGGTAAAGCAGCAATAGAAGGAAAAAAAATGTACCAGCCCCCCAGACTGAATGCAGGCACAAGTAATAAAAACAAAAACAAAAAAAACCCACAAAGAGTCAGGCTTGCCGAGGGTCTCACTAAGCCAGGCTTCTGACCCAGGCCTGAGTGTAATGACCACGTTCACCACCCGCAACTGGGTCCCCGCCCCACAGCAGGGTGCAGGGCTGGTGTCCCCGGAAGACAGCCTCTCCCCTTCCTCCCTACTCCCGGGGAACACAGGAGTGTTTGGTCTGCATTAATATTATGTCACGATTTTGAACCCACCGTGGCATCTTGCTCTATAAAGCTCCCTTTGTAAAGTGGGGTCCGAAGCAACCCATTTCCTGGGTCCCCTTCTGTCGCTTAACAGCTATCTCTCAATATTTCCTTTTCTTCTTTTGGGACAGGGTTTGGCTACAGTTCAGGCTGCCCTTGAGCTCACTTTGTAGCTCACCGGTCTTGAACTTGCAGTGATCCTCCTGCATCAGCCTCCCGAGTGCTGGGATTACCGGTGTGTGCCACCACGCCGGGCCAATATTTCCTACTCTTGTGGGTGTGTTGTGGTGCTGGAGATTGAACCCAGGGCCTTCTGCCGGCCGGACTCACTACTGCTGAGCCTCAGTCCCAGGCCACAGTATTTCCTACTTTTAGCCTCTGTTGCCTTAGAATTCATTTTTTGATTCTGGGGAACACGAACTCGGTGTACCTGACATCTAGCAAATTGGAGTTACACTCATTTCCCCTGTATCACAAGCACGGGGGTGGGGGTGGGAGGCAAAGCTGCCGCCAAAAATACTCTAGGTGACCTGGAGAAAGAACTAGAAAGGGACCTAGTGGATCAAGAAGGAGCGGGACCATTGCAGCAGTTCCAACAAAAGGACAGTACAGTCAGGGCGATGATGAGACAACGGTAAGACAGGTGCAAGTGGATGGCAGAGGGTGATGAAAAGGTGCAAGATGGGGCCGGGGAGATAGCGCAGTAGAATAAGCGCTTGCCTGGCAAGTGCAAGGGCCTGAGTTCAATCCTGGGTTCCGCCAAAAAAGAAAAAGAAAAGATGCAAGATGGCTATGGGTTTTCCTTGTGATTGGCTGAATCCTTAAAGGAATTGGCAAGGAAGGAATGACTGACAGAGGCTGCCCTTACCGCCCTGCGGCGAGGAGCCCGCTTGGAACCCTCCAGCTTCGGCCTCCGCGCCGGCACTGGGCGCTGCCCTCCTGGAGAACGCGGCATGGAGGCCATCGTTGTCCACGTCGTCGGTCTCCTCGGGTGCGTTGGCGGAGGAGCCAGTGCCTGCAGACAGCCCACTGCACTGCAGCAGTGCACCCCGCCCTCGAAGCCGCTCCTCCACGGCAGCCACGAAACCATGCGCCTAGGGTAAAGGAGACCCAGAGCTGCGTGACACTAAGAGATACCTCCACCTTCTGCCCCGCCTCCGCTTTGCCGGAGGGTAGGGCGGCCGAGAAGCGCCAGTCCCAGGACTCCATCCTTCAAACCACAGTGATTGGTCTGGCTGGGGCACATGACTGAGAAGGCCAATCAGAATCCTTCCCTGGGATTTTTGATTTAGAGCTGTAAAGACTGCTGTCTAGCGCAGGCCTCGCCAATTTAGAAGAAGGGAAAATGAAGCCTCAACAAAGAGCAAATGAGAGACAAGCGCTGGAGAGACAGACACAGATAACAGCACCTTTCATGGGTCTTGTAAAGGGTTAACAGAGTTTTGTGCCTTAACTGTAAAAAATTATAAAAACCCCTTGTGCTTCCCGTTATCTGCTCTAAAAAAATATATTCTCCCTTTAGGCTCAGGGCTGTTCCACAATAAATAAGTGTTTCTTGTCAAGGCAGCAAGCTAACACAAACTCCCTCCCCAACCATCTCCTATAATGTAGTCAGCTTAAGATGTATCTTATAAAAATAAGCACTTATCACTAAGCTAGAAAAGACTTTTTAGTTATAAACAGTTTGCAGCTGTGTCAAATAAATGCAGTTTCTGTTGTTCTATACTAGATAACAAATTTGCTTACCAAATTGGATGTGATTTCTGTTATAAATACCCCCTTGCTACCTACGTTCGGGCCGCTCAGCCTTCTCCTGTGTGAGAAGTGGCTGACGGACCTGAGCTCAATAAATAAAAGGCTCTACTCAAATTTCTATCTGGCTGATCTGGTTCCTATGCAGAGTTGACCCAAACAGGTCTAACTGCTCTGAACACATAGCAAGGTTGGTCTGGTTAAATGAACAACTTCGTTCATTCCTTCACATTATCCCCCATATAAATCTGTTTTTTTGTTTTGTTTTTTTTTTTTGTTTTGTTTTGTTTTTTTTCTTTGCATTTTAGGGAAGGGTCTACAGGGTGTTCAGGGCCTCATTACTAAATTGGACTGGTAGTGATCTGCCTGTTTACAGCCTCCCAAAAACTGGGATCACATGCGCGGGCCACCAGCCATCTCAATCGCCATCTCAGCGCGCCCCGGGAGCAGGGCCGGCAAGGCAGGCCCAGGGATTCAGCCCTTGGCCCCTGTGCTTTAATCCGCTGAGCTATTTGAAATGTTTCTATTTTAACACACACACACACACCTTTTTGTTTCTTTTTTTTTTTTTAATTTGTGTGTGTGTGTGTGTGTGTGTGTGGCCAGCTCAGCCCACCAGGGGGCGGGGCTGGCTGGCATGTGGTGCTGGGGGATTGAACCGTGGTCCCTGTGCTTTGCTTAGCTTAGCTTGTTCTAAGTAGGTGCTTTAGACCACTGAGCCATCTCACCAGCCCCACCTTTTTGTTTCTAAAATAGGAGGGTGCTATACCCCCCCCAGCCCTTTCTTATTTTTTAATTTGGGTTTTGCCAAGTGGCTAAATTGCCAAGTCTGAGCTGGAACTTGCAATCCTACTTCAAGACTCCCCAAGTACTCTATTAACAATGTCACATTGCCTCAGTGCCTTCTAAAAGTTCAGTCCAGGGCCCCTGAGATAGCTCAGCGGCATACGCACCTGCCTGGCAAGCGCAAGATCATGAGTTTGATCCCTGGTACCACAAAATGTAAAAAAGTTCAGGGTATACATTTACATATTTTAGAACCATGCATGGTGGCACACCCTGTAATTCCAGCACTCAGGAAGTTGAGACAGGAGGATCACTGTGAGTTTGAGACCAGCCTGGAGGCTACAAGAGTGAGCACAGGGCTGCCCAAACATAAACAGTGAAAAAATAAATACATAAATAAAATAAAAGAACTGTATCGTGAGGTCCTGTCTCAAAAATAGTTACGTTTACATACTTTACACACAATGCATAATGGGTTTTCCGTTTTCATAATTTTCAGATCTTAATTACATTTATCTTATTTATTTAACTTAGTTTTGCACAGCTGTGGATGGAACCCAGGGCTCACAACTGCTAGGAAGTGCTGGCTAGATCGACAATGAGTAGGCTTCCAGATCCTGCTCTACACCATTCTTGCTAAGAGGATAGAAGAAAAAAGAAAAGGGACCTACAAACAAGAGGAAGGATGAAGCAGATTCAGAAAGCAAGCAGAGTTCTGTAAGCATCAGAGGCCCTGGTCCTGCACACCCTGAGACCTGGGCACACCTGCCCTCAGATGCCCCATTAAGCATCACTGCTCCTTTTGGCTGATATGAGCTCCGTGAGGTAAGCTGCTTACAACCCAATCCAGTCCCATCCCCAGCAAGGCAGACCCAGACAGTTCCCAAGAAGTGAGCCCCGGTCAGCAAGGCTCACCTCCTGCACACTAGTGTTGCGCCTCTGCAGGCAGAGGCAGACAGCTCTGGCCAAGGCCTCGGCACAGTCCTCAGGCAGTGACCCCTCTCTCTTCTCCAAGTATTTCTGGCAGATCGTTGCTGTCACCTTCTGCACCCCTGTCTTCCTGGAGCTTGGAATTTCACTGAGGAGTAAATCTTTCTGTAGGAGAAAGAGTGGAAAAGCCTCCAGTGTGCTTCACGGTAGAGCAGCCACCATGCCTGCCTCACCTGCCTCCAGGATTGCCCTGGAGCTCATGAGCTTCTCAAAAAAAACACTAGCTCTCAACTTTAACGCCATCTTCTTAGAAACCTCTGTGCCATGAGAGCCAAGTGGAGGAAGAAGTGAATGCACAGATTGAAGCATAGAAGAAGAAAGATGAGACAGAGGTCCAAGTAAAATAGCTCGTACACCCAGAAGAACAGAAATAAAGAATGCTGGAGGCTGACAATGCTGGTGCAAGTTTTGGACGGCATGCTGTCTAGAATGTCTCAACGGATTGGAACTTCATTGCCATCTGATCGCCAAGACCACCTCAAAGAGAGATCCACCTGGTTCAAACTAAGCAGTCTCCTGGTTTTTTGCCCCGGACCTGTGGCATTCTGGACTACTTCTGTTCTCGCTTTTGGCTGAGCGTAAAGCGTGTACAGTAAATCATCTCTTCTGTGTTAGCTGAAGAATCAAAAAAAAAAAAAAAAAACCCACACCAAACATTTAAAGCATAAATGCACGGGTCCCAAAACCAAGAACAACATGAGGGAGTAGAACATTGCTCAACTGCCTATATGTAGTCCACAGTACACTTATAACACAACCATAAGCCTCTGTCACATCATAAGGAAAATGGCAATCACCAAAATGCCTCTCCTAGATCTGAAAGAAACACTAGCATTTGTACCTAAAGCACAAAGTATACTTCACACACAAGAAACACACAATCAATTACTGGTGATAAATAGTACTGATGGTGATGTACTTTACTTACATTAATAATTTAATTTTAGTAGTAATTAATATGGACCCTTTTTACCTCTGCTGGTGCCATGACACCCATGAAAAGGATTGTGGCAAAGGGAGGAAAAAAGAAACAGCAGGTTCTGACGTTCACGCTAACTGTGCCCACCCTGCAGGACATGGAATCAGAGATGCTGCTTATCTCAAAGCAGTTTCACCAAGAGAAAAATCAATGCAAACAGAAAAGCTGGGAATCTTGGGGGAAGGGATCATAGGCATCAAAAGGAATATGGTCAGGGTTTCAGTCCTTCAGAGATGCTTCTTTTTCTTTTCCAGGTCTGGGGCTAGAACCCAGGGTCTTGAACATGCCCTATCACTGAGATACCCTCTCAGCCCACCCTCTAAAAATATCTGAAGACTGATTTACATGTCTGGAAAGAAAAGTTTCCACAACTGGTTCCACACAGCTGTTAAATGAAAAAATGTTACTCATGAACTAACCAGGACAAAGAAGAAAAGATGAGGATTGAAACCTTCTTCTCTGGAGAATTACACAGAACATAGAAATGGAAAATCTCTTAGAATACAAAACCCTTTGAAATGCAGGATTCAGGACTGGGAGTATAGCTCCATGGTAAAGTGTGTGCATGGCGCATGAGAAACCCTGGCTGGCTTCAATCCCCAGCACCACAAAGCTAGTTTTAAATATATAATTACAGCTGGGCACAGGTGCACATGCCTGTAGCCCCACCTACTGAGGAGGCTGGGACATGAGGATCATAAATTCAAGACCAGCCTCCACAACTCAATGAAATCTTGTTTCAAAATTGTGTGGGGTGGGCCAGGGAGATAGCTCTGTAGTCTAAGCACCTGCCTGGTAAGCAGAAGGACCTGGGTTTGATCCCCAGTATTGCATACTGTGCAGTCTCAGCCACATAGCGAGACCCTGTACCAAGAAAGAGAAGAAAGATCAAAATTGTATGGGGTTTTTTTGGGGAGGGATTGGGGTTCTTTTGTATTTTGCATTTTTTTTAATTTTTTTTATTTTTTTCTGTATTTTATTTATTTTTTTTTCTACAGCTTTATTGATAAACATATGGCAATGAGACAGTTTCTGTATTTTGCATTTTTGAGATAGCATCTCACTGTGTTGCCCAGGCTGGCCTTAAACTTGCAGTGATCCTCCTGTCTCAGCCTCCCTAGTGTTGGGATTACAGGGGTACACCTGTAACATCACACCCATGGTTCAAAATAAAATTTTATTTATTTTGTGGTACCAGGGATTAAACTCAAAATAAAATTTTAAAAAGAACTGGAACTAGGGCTTATGGTAGACAGCATATATGATGATCGTCTGGTTTTAATCTCTAGTACCTCCAAAAATATGTAACTACACATTTATTATTCTTTGTAAATGTATTTATATAATATAAATATGTAAAATGTATACTATATATAGCATTTTGTGCTACATAAAGCAAAATTCTTGGGCTGGCGAGATAGCTCAGCAGACTAAGTGCCTGCTTAGGCAAGTGCAGGGACCAGGGTTCAATTCCCAGCCAGCCACCGAGTCCGGGTATGGTGGCACACGCCTGTAATCTCAGCACTGGAAGGCTGCAAACAGAAGGCTCATTATGAGTCAGAGCTGCATAGTGAGACCCTGTACCAAATACATTTTTTTAAAAAAGCAAAATTCTGGGCTGGGGAGATAGCTCAGTAAATTAAGCACTTGCCTGGCAAGTGCAAGGGCCTGAGTTCAATCCCTGGTTCTGCAAAAAAAAAAAAAAAAAAAAAAGGCAAAATTCTAAAAGCTACACAACAAAAAATGATCTAAATAATAATTATATTTCTATACAAATATATATTTGGCACAAAATATATATATTTCATGTATAATGTAGTACAATATGTATGTTTACATATATGTTCCAAATACATTATATGAAACATTGCTTAAATATAAGGCAATTAATATGTATCTCTGTACACTATTAACATAGTTACACTGCATTAGATTAATGTAATTTATGTTTTCTATTTGTCTCCACAAGTATAATTTCTATAAATGATATAACATTTGTACATACACTGTTATATATAATACAGTGTACACTATTTAAATGCCATATATATCCTTTAGTTATATAGTATACTATATTTCTTTTCTTTTTCTTTCTTTTTTTTTTTTTTTTTGGCCATTTAAGACAGGGTCTTACTATGCTGGTCAGGCTGGCCTTGAGTTCACTTTGTAGCCCAAGCTAGTCTTTTTTTTTTTATGTATTTTTTTTAATTATTTATTTATTTATTTATTTATTTTTTAACATTTATTTATTGTGTGTGTGTGGCCAGCTCAGCCCACCAGGGGGCGCGGCTGGCTGGCATGTGGTGCTGGAGGATCGAACCGCGGTCCCTGTGCTTCGCCGAGCTTGTTCCAAGTAGGTGCTTTAGACCACTGAGCCATCTCTCCAGCCCCCAAGCTAGTCTTGAGCTCACACCAATCCTCCTGCCTCAGCCACCAAGTGCTGGGATTATAGGCATGCACCACCATACTCAGCCATATTAGAAGACAACTTGTACATGTATTAATTTCATTAACATACAAATGTATTCAATATATTTTATATATTACATACGATATGCTATAGACATAGTCTACTTCATGCAAAGTGCAAAAGCATGATGAAACTCCATACTATGAATATGAAATATAAATATGTTTAAGTATAAGTACTGTACATAAATAATATGAGCTATGTGCATATATTCATACATAAAATAAGAACCAGAGTTCAGGTGATTAAAAATAACACTTATTTCCAAGAATGATTCTAGGTTTTGGTTTTTTTTTTTCAGTGGTACTGGGGATTGAACCCAGGGCTTCTATACCAAGCTACATCCCAGACTTTTTTAAAAAAAAATTTTTTACTATGAGACAAGGTCTTGCTAAGTTGCTCAAGCTGGGCTTGAATCTGCCATCCTCCTGCCTCAGCCTCCTGAGTGCTGAGATTACAGGCATGTGCCAACCACATCTGACTTTTTAATTTATGTTTTGTGTTTTGCAGTGGCAGGGCCTCGTGCATGCTAGGACCCTCAGTCTCTTAATTTCAAGAGTTTCTGTGTTCTGTATTTCCTATCTGTTAACTGTGGCCTTCAGAGAGCCTGGGATTATGTGGCATCTGGTACCTGCTGACTTTCTCCATCCCATCTCTTCCTGTCTCCCTCTGATCGCTACACTCAGCCTTGCTGGCTTCCTTCTGTCCCAGAAGCCCCTAAGCCCATCCTGCCCAGGCCTCTACCCTGGTCCCCTCAGCCTGGGATGCGCTTCTTGTGAGGTTCCCAGGGCTCCTCCCACCAGTCATCCGGGTCAGTGCTCAGCTGTGACCCTGGATTAGGCCTTCACTCCCCCTAACCTTGCGCCTAGTTCATGCTCAGCATATGCTGCTCCCTGGAATGACCATCTGGTTGTTTTTGTTTGTTTGGTTGGTTTTTGGTGGAACTGGGGATTGAACTCATGCCCTTACGCTTGCCAGGCAAGTGCTTATTCTACTGAGCCATCTCCCTGACCCCATGACACATCTGTATTTTCCTGAGCATCATTTCATTTCCTTTCTCCATTGGGACAAAGGCTCCATGAGGACAGAAACCTCATCTCATCCACCACTGTCCCTCAGTGTCCAAGACCACTGCCTGGTGTAGCAAGTGCCTTGGGCAGGCTTTCACAAACGTACCTGACAATTTACTGGTTTTGTTTAAGTTTCATATTTTCTTTTTGTATAATTTGATTATTTTTAACAGAAGCAATTCATTACATGTGAAGTTAATTTTTACTACTCTATACAAAAATTTACAATTTAGAAAAAATTATTTCTGAAAGATTATCAGCCATGAAAAATGATGTTTGCTTCAAAAACAAATGAAACATTTGGGGGCCAGCATGACAGCTCATCGGACTAAAGCTCCGGCTTAGGCAAGTGCAGGGACAGATGTTCAATCCCCAGCACCACACGCCAGCCCCACCTCCAGACGTAGTGGTATACCCCTGTAATCCCAGCACTGAGTAGACTGAAAACAGGAGGATCACTATGAGTCCAAGCTGCATAATGAGATCCTGTAACAATCAAATACATAAAAAAAAAAAACCAACAGCTGGATGTGGTGATGGATACCTACAGTCCTAGGTACTTGGGAAGCTGAGGCAGGAAGATGACTTGAGCCCAGGAGTTTAAGGTCAGCCTAGAACTGCAGTGATACTGGGCGTGCGGGTACACACCTGTAATCCCAGGACCCCTGAGAGGCTGAGGCAGGAGGATAACAGTGTGCTTAAGGCCTGCTACATAGCAAGACCCTGTATGTCCCCCAAAACAGAAACAAAAGACAACCAATCAACCAACTAAAAACAAAACAAAATAAAACACACCTTACTCTGTTTCCCCATCCAGAAAATAGGCAGCTCAAGGATCCAACTGAGCTTCATGCCTGACATCACCAGGGATTTGTCGCTGGAGACTAACAACCACAAGGGGGCAGGGGATGCTCTCCTGACCCTCCTGTGCCATTCCCTTGGGTCTGCTTTGCCTTTACGTGTTTAATCCTTTAAAGCACTAAAATAGTTTTAGCTCAGTATGATGGTGCACACCTGCAATCCCAGCCCTGGCAAGGCTGATGCAGGAGGATCGCTGTGCGTTCAAGGACAGCCCTGGCTACAAAGTAAATTCAAGGATAGTCTGTACTGCATAAGGAGACCCTATCTCATATAAATAAATAAATAACCCCAAAGTAAACCATAAAAAAACAAAAAAGAAAATAGGCTAGGTGTGGTGGTTCTTGCCTGTAATCCCAGCATTTAGGAGGCTGAGGCAGGAGGACTGTTCCAAATTCGAGATCAGCCTGGACTACAAAGTGAGCTCAAGGCCAGCCCGAACTGTACAGTGAGACCATTTCAAAAAGAAAAAAAAAAGTAGACAAATCTCTAAACACCGTTTGACTCCAGCATCTGCCTGATCTACAGATACTCAAGTCTCCACTATCTGGATGGAAGGAATCCCAGTGCTCACGGCAGCCGGCTAGCAGGAGCACTAGGACAGCGCGCCGCCTCGGGCCTCCCCCTGGTGGACAGACGGAGCTTATCCAGGAAGCTGCAAGACAGCTGAGGACGAAATCTCAGAGGAACGCTGGGTCGCCACAACAGCAAGCCAGCCTCTCCATGGAGCCGCTCCCTGCCCCTCAGGCACGATGCCCAGCCAAGTGCCCAGACTGTGTTGCAGTGGGGAGCACCCACAGCGCAGGAAATGTTCCAGAGAAAAACAAGCACAGGACTGCCTCAAGCACAGGAAATATGAGGAACAGAAACACGCACACAATACCACAAGGACGTCATCAGCAAAACCAGGCTGTGAGACAATCGACGGGGGATAGATGACCCACTTTAGGCACAGATGCAATCATATACAGAACGGATAGGGAGGACCAGGAAGGAACACACAGTCGTAGGAAACAACCAGAATAGAGCGCGTCTATAAACCCAGCTCCCAGGAAGCTGAGGGGGGGAGGGGAGAGAGACAGACAGACAGACAGACAGACAGACAGACAGACAGACACAGAGACAGACAGAGACAGGGACAGAGACAGAGACAGAGACAGACTGGGGAGATAGCTCAGTGGAATAAATGCTTGCCTGGAAAGCGCAAGGACCTGATTTCAATCCCCAGTTCCGAGAAAAAAAAAAAAGAGAGAGAGAGAGACAGACAGACAGACAGACAGACAGACAGACAGACAGAGACAGGCAGGCATCTGGATCTGGAGCCAAGAGACCTGACTAGAATCCAACTCGGAGGTTCAATAATGCTGAGAACACTCACAAATTTCCATGCCCACTTTTTTCATCTGCAGACCAGTACCATAACCCCAGTATCAGGATTCTGTGATGATCCAGAACGATTATGTAGGTACGGTGGCTGATAAACAGAAGAGACAAACTGTGCTGTGGCATTTCTGAAAGGACATGATGTGAATGTGTGAGTGTGTGTGTGTGTATAAGAGAGAGAGAGACAGTGACAGAGAGACAGAGAGAGCGAGCTCTTCCACCTACAAGGGAAAAAGTACAATTTTCATCATAGAAACCTCTTTAAGAGGACGGAAATAAACTTACGAAGTTGAAGGCAAACCTATCAACCTATCTAACTGGCTGGCATTCCCTCCTACATTCCCCTAGCACAAAAAAGCGGGGGGGGGGGCCTTGGGTTTAAAGCTACTCTGCACAAATGGAAATCAAGCCCTGAACTGAGGTGTGCCTAAGGAGGCACAGCCCCCCAACCATGCAGCACCACAGCCCGGATCCACAGGCCAGCTGCCAAAGACTGCTCCTTACCAGGTACACAGGGTTCCGGTCACTGTCCATCGCAGGCATGCCGGTGAGGACCTCTGCTAGCACCTGGAGAGAACAGAACACAGGCTCAGCATGGCCAGATAGTCAGGCACAAAGGCAGTGAGAGCCTCTGGCCATGAAGGGAGGCCATCTACACACATGTGCGCACACACATGCACAAGTGTGCATACACACACACACACACACACACACAATTAGGATTTTGTTTTGTTTTATTTTGTCTTTTTGAGACAGGGTCTCACTATGTAGCTCAGGTTGGCCTTGAGCTTACTTTGTAGCCCATGCTGGTCTCTAACTCACAACAATCCTCCTTCCTCAGCCTCCTGAGTGCTGGGATTATAGGTGTGCATTACCACATCCAGCAATTTTTAAAGATTGTTTTGTTTAAGAATACATCAGCAGGGGCCGGGGAGATGACTCAGTAGAATAAGTGCTTCCCTGGCAAGCACAAAAGCCTGAGTTCAATCCCCGGTTCCGCAAAAAAAAAAAAAAAAAAAAGAATACATCAGCAGGGCTGGCCTGATAGCTCAGCGCACTAAAGCACCAGCTTAGGCAGAGTGCAGTGGCCGGGGTCCGATCCCTGGTGTGCCGTACTGGCCCCACCCATGGGGCACTCCGAGATGGCAACTGACACTGGGCATGGTGGCATGCCTGTAATCCCAGTGTGTGAGAGGCTGAAAACAGGAGAATCACTACGGGTCTGATCTACCTAGTGAGACCCTGTAGACCCTGTAGACCCTGTCCTAAATACGGGGGGGAGGGGAATAAAAGAATGTATCAGCAGCAACTGGGGAGACAGCTCAGGACCTGGGTTCATTCCCTAGTACTACAGGCCTTGCTGGCCACTAAAACCAGAAGTGGTGCTGCATGCCTGTAATCCCAGTGCTGGGGAGGCTGAGACAGGAGGATCGCTATGAATCCAAGCTGTGTAGTGAGACCCTGTACCAAACAAACAAACTAATAAATAGAATGCATCCTGTACCAAATAAATAATAAATAATTTTTTTAAAAGTGAATAGGTACTAGAGGTGTGCATGGTTTTAGGGTGCTATCATGGTTACATTCTAGAAATGTGTACAAATATCTGGGATTACGTTAAAATACTCCTTTCCTAAACTGGGCGTGGTGGTGCATACCTATAATCCCAGCACTTGGGATTCAAGGCAGCAGTAGTGCCATGGTTTGAGGCCAGCTTGCACTAAGTGATAAATTTAAGGCCATCCTGAACTGTGCAGTGAGACCCTGTCTCCAAAAGCCAAACTCTATTCCTTTTTTTAAACAAAAATGATAGATGAACGGAGATGACCAGATTGTTACTAACTGCTAAAGCTCAGAACTGTGCACATGTAGGTTTGTTACACTGCCTTATTCTCTTGTTTTGTTTTGTTTTGTTTTTTTAATTTTATTTATTTGTGTGTGTGTGTGTGTGTGTGTGTGTGTGTGGCTAGCTCAGCCCACCTGGGGGTGGGCCTGGCTGTCACGTGGTGCTGGGGGATTGAACCACGGTCCTTGTGCTTTGCCAAGCTTGTTCTAAGTAGGTGCTCTAGACCACTGAGCTATCTCACCAGCCCCTATTCTCTTGTTTTGTGACCAGAACTGTGGAAAGAATTGTAAACTGAGGTCACTGTACTATTTTCGTGATCTTGTTGTCTATCAAAAAACCTGTAAGAAAAAGGAAGTAAAACATTGAGCACTAAAACACAAACAAAAGAAAAAAAGAATGCATCAACAACAGCAAGCCTGCCCTGTCCATCTCGGGGAAAGAAGGCGCACGCCTGAAGGTGTGAGCTCGGTATTCAGTCTCAGCACACCTCTAGCATGTTTCTTCCACAGCTTGCTTTCTTTTTTTTTTTTAATTTTACACATTTGGTACAGGGTCTCACTACACAGGCTGGACTCATAGTGAGCCTCCTGTTTCAGCCTCCCCAGCGCTGGGATTTCAGGCACACACCTCCACACCCAGTTTTAGTGGCTGGGGCGCCTGGGGCAGGGTCAGCACAGCATGTGATACTGGGGATGAAACCCAGGTCCTTGTGCCTGCCTAGGCAGGTGCTTAGACCACTGAACTATCTCCACAGCCCTTCCAAAGCTTTCTCAATGCTCTGTTCATTACTACTCTACTCCTGAGAAACCACAACCTGGCCCCAGGAAACTGAAAACCAGGACAAATCTGCATGAACAGGACGCCTGCTCTGAACCAAGCAATTCTCAGCAGAGACAGCAGCACAATGGTTGCAGTCAGACAACTCTGGGTTCAAATCCTAGTGTTCACTGCTTAGATGGCCTTTGGGCGAATAACTAAACCCTGAGCCTCAGCGTCCTCACATGTTCAGTGGGGTGCTAAAGGTGGTGAAGAGGAGTAGACGCCCCACTCTTAGGTCATCTCTCTCAAAGACCGTGTGAAAGCAAAGTAGGGTGCCCTTGGCTGCAGAGATGATAGGGTTAATAATAGAGTGGCAGTGACCAGGAAGTGGGCAGCAGAGGGCATCAATGTAGTAAGGGGTCCTGGAGCCAGCTGAAGAGCCACCAAATCCTGCCAGGGAGAGGAGACGCCTCTCCCACGGGGCCCTGCTATGCTGAGCCTTGCACAGGGTTCGGTAAGTGCTCAAGTACACTGGGCGTGTATGTAGCTCGGCAACAGAACACTTGCTAGCATGCCGAAGGCCCTGAATTCTATTCCTGCAAGAAAAGCAACAGAAAACACAAAATGAACAAAACACTGGGAGATGCAATGTGTTCCTCCCAGGAGAACCAGAATTCAGTATCACAGCCGTGGGCCAGGAGCCAGGCTGAGCCAGTAGCACAGAGGCAGCCAGGAGCCCAGAGGGGCGGCTGGGGGATGGAAAATGAGGACTCACCTGTGACACCAAAACTGAAACAGAAACCAAAAGCAAGGGTGTGAAGCTTAAAGCGACAGTAGTAGGTGAGTGGTGTGGGGGTGTACAGCATGCACAAGGCGCTGAGTTCCATCCCCATGCCAAAAATTCAGAAATAATAACAACAGTAATAAGCATAGTCAATGTGTGCAGGGTGCTGCACAGACCAGTGTGCACACAGGATCCCATTCCTCTTCACATAGCATTAAGTCACCTACAGAAGGTAAAACACACCCAGACGCAGGGGAGGCCCTGCAGGTGACACAGCTGGAAGTAGCTGAGCAGGGCCTGGGCCTTGAAGCCTGCAGCTACGAGTTAGTGGGCCGATTCCTGGGAGCAGGGGCTTGGGCCAGTGCGGCAGAGCACCACCAAGTTGGGCACGGCAGGAGCAGAATGGGCACAAAGAGGCCTGGCTGAGGGTGGAAGCTGGCCCTAATGGGGCCTCTAGAGGCCGACGTGAATGGACAGCAGGTTGTGATCAAAGACAGGAAGTGTGGAGTATGAGGCTGAGAGGACAGCCCTGGTGCAGCCGTGAGCAGCTGGCTGAGGCCAGACTTTCATTTTAACCGGCGTTTCCTGAGCCAAGGCAGAATTATGCCCTGAGAAAACAAAGCTCCACACATTGGCCAAGCAATGGCTGTGACTCATCCACATGGCTGACACTGACAAAGGATCTACAATCTGAGGTACAGGATCTCAGGATAAATCCTGAGGGGATTTCACTGACCTTATCAGACCCAAAAGCTACAACTCTTGTTGCATAGGTCCTGCTTTACCTTGGTCTTAACCATCCAGCAGAAAAGTATAAAAACGAAGTATAAGAAGTAAAGTCATGCTGTTATGTTGAGCTGAAGGGGACTCAGGTCAAAAATTTCTGACATTGCCAGTGAAGCGGAAGACCCAATACTATTATGGGCTATTGGACTCTTAGAATATTTTGCTGAGTTAACACACCTATAATATTCAAATGACAGAACTAAACAAAAAAGGGGATATATAAATGAATGTCCATTTTGTATCTGTGTATTCAAAATGGTTAGGATAGATATATAGTTACATTCTCTTAATGTATAGAAGGATTTGTTCTAATAGTGTTTGTAAGTAGGATATCATGTCCGCATCTTGCACAGCAAATAACCACTAGGAAGACAGTATGCAATGTGTTAATTGTTGAAACTGTCCTACCAATTTGTTTTGAAACGGTCTCATTGCTATTTGTCTCTCAATAAAATTATGGGGAAAAAAAGAAAACAAAACTCCACAGCCAGGGTACTTGGGAAATTGCACAGTGCTCTGTGGTGAAGCCACAGCAACCAGGTTAAAGGCTTACTGATGCATCATGAGTTGTACTTAGGCAGGACAGATGGTCAGTGCCTGTAATTCATCACCATAGGAGGCTGAGGCAGACAATCACAAGTTCAAGCCCAACCATTGGAAAGGAAAGAAAAAAACGAAAAGAGAAGGGGGAGGGGACACTAATCTTGTAAAGAAACCTACTGAACTCTGCTTACCCTAGTATTTTCTACACAGGCTACAAAGCCCACCCAGAATGTCCATCCTATAGTAATCTCACAGAATTGGGGTGTGCCCTATGGAGATTTTGGTGATCATTCCACTCAGACCATCAGCTCCTGGCGATGACTGGGTTTCAGTTACACTGGCAGTCCAAGTGCCTGGCACATGGTCATAAAGGAAGTGCTGCAGGCGCAGCAGGAGGACACTAGCTGGCACACAAACACTGAATGGCCAGGTGGCTGCCAGACAAAGGAGTCAACAGATGTTGGGACAACAGCTGGACAGGTGATCGAGCACTTAGGGTATAGAACCCAACATAGCCCCCACTTTCTGTCCCTGCTTCCTGGCCACCATGGCAGTACAGCTTTCATCTGCCATGCTGCTCTGCTATGGCTGAACCCCCCCAACACTGAGAGCCAAGATCGACTCCTCTTCCTTTAAGCTGCACCTATCAGGTACTTTGCCCCAGTAATGAGAAGGGTACATGAACAAAGACAAGTAGGGTGCCCAGACTAGAATCAGAGAAGTAGGAGATATTACCACAGCCTACTAAAATCTGCACAGTCATAAATATCTTGACTTTGAGGGTTAACACCTTTTTATAACAAGCCTGAGTAATTACTATAGCCTTCATGGACTGCATGCAGTATCTTTCACATATCCTATTATTCCTAGCTCAGAGACCATAAAAATTCATGGAAGCCAGGCATGGTGGTACACAACTGAGATCCCAGCTGCGTGGGAACCTGAGGCAGCAGGTTCACCTGGGTCCACCAGTTTGAAACCAATCCAGGCAACAGTCAGACCATGTCTCAAAATATAAGCCAAATGTGGTGACCACATCTATAATCCAAGCACCCTGGTAGGCTGAAGCAGGAGTACTGCACATCTGCGTGTAGCTGGGCATCTTAGCTACTTAGCGAGATCCTGTCCCAAGATAAAAAATGAGAAAGGCAAAAGATGTAGCTCCATGGGAAGGCCAGGTGCATTCAATCCCACTACTCCCCCGCCCCCCCCCCCAAAAAAAAACCAAACAAAAACAAAAAATGGTGAAAGTGTGGCTCAGCGCAGAGCCTTGCTGAGCATGAATAAGCCCAAGGCTCCCTGGTGAGCACCACACACACATGCAGGCACATACCAGGAGACCAACTAGGCCTGGCACTAGCGTGAAAACTGTATGCCATGCTTACAAAGGAGCCAGGGGTCGGCAAAGGGGCACAGGCTCACATCTGAGCAGTGAAGGCAATCCTTACTATCCCACAGCTGAAGACGTCCACACGCTTGGTCAGCTGCCCGACCCTGATGAAATCTTCCGGCACATATGCTGCTGAGGCCTGGAAAAGGTGGGTCTTCATCACCGTGTATTCTGACCTTTTATAGTCAGGATTCAACTGAGCCACTGGATGAGCCAGCTTAGGGGTGAATTCTTCATCCAGCAAAATGTTGGAGCTGTGAAAAGAAGCAAAAAACCCTCACTCTGAGTTAGAGAGGATGTGTCACAGAGACCATTCTGGAAAACAGCAGTGCTGGGTGCGTCAGAGCACCTGCAGGGGGGCTACTTGAGATCCTTAACACAGAGTTATGAGCCAGCCCTACCACAGGAAGGTAGGACATTGGAGTCCAGTCCTCCAGCAAATAAGGGGCTCCACCACCCAAGGAGTGCAGCTCCCTGATCCCCACAGGGCCCACCTCCATCAGCTCAGCCTGTCACATGCATAGCCTGACCAGGAGCTGCTGACCTCTAGCTCTGGTTGGCTAGTAGAAGTCTACACATATCGGCTAACTCTGTGACTAACTTGCCCTGTCAGGGTGAATGAGAGCAACTTAAAAAAAATTTAAGGAATAATAAAAACCTCCTCAGGGGGCTGGGGAGATCCTCAGTACCTAGCAAGCACTAGGACCCGGGTTTGATCCCCAATACCACATGCCATGCTGGCATCGTGCCATGCCATGCTGTGCCAGCCACTGAAACTGGGTGTGGTAGCACATGCCTATAATCCCAGAACTGGGGAGGCTGAGACAGGAAGATCACCCTGAGTCTGAGCTACATAGTGAGATCCTGTACCAAATAAATAAATAAAAGATTTTTTTAAAAAAATCCTCAGATCCAGTCATCGAGTCATGGGAGTAACCTCAGAGAAAAGATTTCAAAGAGCAGAGGAAACCAAGTTATATATGTGGAACTAACCCCCAACAGTATTTTAAGTAGTAAAATCCCATTCATCACTCTTAAAAGTGATTAAGTAGGGGGTCGGGGAGATGGCTCAGTAGAATAAGCATTTCTCTGGCAAGCACAAGGTCCTGAGTTCAATCCCCGGTTCTGCCACCAAAAAAAAAAAAAAAAAAAAGTGATTAAGTAAAGTTATGGGCAATTCTCATCAAGGGAAGACTAAAAAGTCATGAAAAACATGGCATGTTCAAACAGGGAAGAAAACAAAAGATGAATTGGTAACCAGATACCTATTCTACTCAGGTTATGGCCTTGTGTGGGGACAGAGTGAAACAAGAAATAAGAACCAGGATGAGGATGTGGCTTGGCAGTAGAGCACCTACCTAGCACTTACAGGACCCAGGGTTCCATCCCCAGAACCACAAAGAAGAAAAAAAACCAAAAACCAGAGGTCAGTGAATGAGTCACAGCAGTAGGTCCCTGAAGCCTCTCACCCTTTTGTTTTCTGTCTTGCTAGTACAACTGTTGGAGCAATCATACTGAAATCAGGAGAGAAAAAAGGAACTGCTTTGGTTTCCGTGCCTCACATTTCAAACTATGAGAGGACTCTGGGGAACTGTGAGTCTCATGGGTCAGAACTATTTCTGTTTTGGCGGAACTGGGGATTGAACTCAGGCCCCTGCCCTTGCCAGGGAAGCACTTATTCTACTGAGCCATCTCCCCTGCCCCTATTTCTGGCAGAATTTTCTGGAATCTTTCCCATGCTACTAGGCCCCAGGTGGGGATCTCTTGGACATATGGTGCTAAGAACAGGAAGTTTTCCCAACAAGTTGCTATAACCAACAGATACATAAGGCAGGACCATTAAAAGAGCTGAAACAGAGCTCCAAGTCCCAGGCATGGCTGAAAGCTCAAGGACAGGGTCCAGGCTGGTGGCTGAACAAGTGGACAGTAAAAAGCAGTGTGGTATGGAGGGCCTGCTACAGGAGAACAGCTTCACAAGCCCAGTGTGGGTACAGATGGGCCCTGTGTGCTTAAGGGCAGTCAGACCTGGGCATAGCCCAAAACAAACACAGATACAGGAAGGCAGTGGGACACAGGGAAGAAGACAGAAGGGAGGCCCAGAGGAAGCATGGTTCAGCCCCACAGCCAGGCCCTGGGGACCAGGCCACCCTCCCACCTCTTGATGTTGCCGTGGATGATGTCCAGGCTGTGCAAGTGCTCAACCGCACCAAGTAGCCCTGAGCAGATGCTGACAAGCCGGGGCCAGGGCAGGAGGTCTGAGCCATCCTAGGAGAAAGAAGAGGGGGAGCGAGGGTCACATGGCACTGTAAGCTGCATCCTCGCTCCCGTCTCCTCTGCCCCTCCCATCATGTCCTCGACTGCACAGCTTGCTGACATGGGACCATACATTTCACAGCAGTGATCTAGTGCAGCTGTGGGACTTTAGAAAAGACTAACTTGTCCTATCAACTTTGTATAAAATGAAAATGTTGGGTGGAGGCACAGTCCAGCGACAGAACACCCACCGAGAATTTGTGACACCATGGGTTTGGTTCTGCTTTCCATTCCCAAGAAAAAGGGAAAACAAAGACATGGTCACCCTCATGTTTCACAGTCACCATAATGATTCAAGGGACCACAGGGGAACCCACGCATGTTGCTGCCACATAATAGGTGCTCAGAACCCAGCAGCTTTTATCATGACTGTTATGACACTGGCTCCAGACCTCCCCTCCAGCAGCGACTGGCTGAAAGCGCTTGGGCTCAGGGCTGCACGCAGTGCAAAGGATTTCCTGCATTCTCGGGCAACATCACAGGGCAGAGAGGATGACAAGGAAGACTGAAACCTGCGCCAGCACTGGGCTACCACTGTTACACTAAGACTAAGTCTCTGGGCGACATCAGCACCTGCTTTCACCTGTGGCCTAAGCCTCTACATACTCTAACAGCTGGCCTGGCTCTGCAACTGTGCTGAGAGTGGAGGCCACCAAAGCCCACGGAAGCCCTGCACTGACACTGTGGCTATGCTCCCTAGAGGAAGTCGCTTGGCCTCTCTGTGCCAGAAACTCTGCTCCTGGAAAGCAGGAAGATGCTTCTTTGATGACAGCAGGGCCTGAAGGAGATGATGTGGGTAAGGGCCTGCTTGAGATGCCTCGTAGGGAAAGGCTCTGCAAAGCCAGTGGTTACTGGTATACGGTGAGTGAAAGTGGTACCCGACCTTTGCCAAGGGAAGCCACAGCTGTGCTGTGGAGGGACTCTCTTCCTTCCATCTGAGGAGTTGATGAGCAGATCTTGGCTTAAAATTATAATTTCTTTTCTTCTTCTTTTTTTTTTTTTTTGGTGGAACTGGGGATTGAACTCAGACCTTGTGCTTGCCAGGGAAGCATTTATTCTACTGAGCCATCTCCCCAGCTTCCCCGCCTTTTTTTTTTTTTTTTTTTGAGACAAGGTCTTGATATTCAGTTCAGGCTGTGAACTCACTATGTAGCACAGGCTCACCTCGAACTCGTGGCAATCCTTCTGCCTCAGCCTCTCAAGTGCTGGGATAACAGGTTTGTACTACCGCTACTGGCATGCTGATATATGTCTGTAATCCTGCCTGCTCAGGAGGCTGAAGCAAGAGGATCAAGAGTTGAAATCCTGCCTGGCAAACTTATCAAGACTTGTCTCAAAATAAGAAAAGGATCAGTGATAGAGCATTTACCTAACAGGCACAAAGCCGGGGTGGGGGGAGTTCCATCCCCAGCACCACCACCAAAAGGCATTCATTCATGTGATATAATATTCTAAAGATACGAAAGAGTCTGTAGGAAAAGCTTTCCTCCAATCTGTTCCCCAGCTACCCAGTTCCCTCCTGCTGAAGCAAAAACATACCGGTTGTGCGTATCTGTTTGCAGATACCGCATAAACACATAAGCAAGAAACACACTCTGGGTTAACACATGCCACAGTGAGATAGCTCAGTGGTCTAAAACGCCTGCTTAGGCAAGCTTAGGCAAAGCACGCAGAGACCAAGATTTGGTCCCCAGCACCACATGCCTCACCAGCCCCATCCCTGGGGTAGGCCGAGCCAACTACAAAAAAAAAAAAAAAAAAAAAAAAAGTCCACTTCCATTTCCATATTCCTATCTCTGGTTTTTTTCTGCTGTGCCACTGTACTGGTCACCATGTCCAGAGCAGCAAGGAGCAGCACCAGTGCTGTGACACATCTGCCTTGCTCCCAACGTAAACGACAGCCTCTGGGCAAATCATCCCGAAAGGTTTTCCTGGCCCCCTCCCAAGCCTCACCAGGATTGCCCCTCTTCCTGTCAGTCCTTAGTCACAACTTCCTCCTGAACAGTACCCTTTCCTTTCCCTGCCCATGACAACCCTTACCTGGCCATGCAGTCTGTCCTGTAGAGAACCGTTTGCCATGTAGGGGTAGATCAGGCTGTGACATTGCCCTCCAGTGCAGAAGCCCAGCAAAGGCAACACGTTGGGGTGGCAGCATCTGAAAGCAGCCAACGGTGCAATGTGAGGGCCAGACACCAAGGAGAGCCAGAGAAGAGCCTGTCTCCATCCCTAAGCTAAGCAAGCATGAAGCTAGGACTTGTCCCGGGCTAGTCTCATATAGCCACCAAGGCTCTTCCCACCACTCTCGGGCCTGGGAGATAGCTCAGTAGACTAAGTGCTAACTTGGCAAGCTCAAGGGCCTGAGTTCAATCCCCGGTTCTGGAAAAAAAAAAAAAAAAAAAGCAACCCACCACTCTCTTCCTCTGGCTGAGCCTTCACTGCCTCCTCCTCTCCTCTGATCTCTCTGACCAATCATGCTTGGTCTTTTCAAGACCCTCTTTTCTGGCCTTCTAAATTGAGGGTCTCCTGCAGCAGGTTCCTCCTACTGCATCAGCAACACCCTCAAACCAAACCCCTTAACTCCAACCCAGCCAAAGCTGTGTGTCACCATGGCTGAGTGCATCAAGGCCAAGGTGAACAGCACCCCAGACTCACAGGACCCCGCTTCACCCTTGCTCACAACCCAGGTGAAGGGCAGACACACATCCAGCTTCCAGGAACCTCAGCTCCACATCTTAGCCACCATTCAGGGCTACACATAGCTTTCAAATTGTCCCCTACATCCCTTCTCCTTGCTGTGGATCACATCTACCCTGTCTCCTGAGCCATCTCACCTCACTCTGTCATACATTCTATATTTGTTAACAAGTCAGCCTCCTCTAGACCAAATGCTCCTCCAAGGTAGAGACTATGTCGCCTTCACACCTACATTCCCTGGAGCGTAGGGCAGCAAGCTCAGGTTTTCTGAATCAATGGATAAGGGGTGATTGCTAACTCCAAAGCAGAACTATACCAAGGAGTTCTCCTTCCAGTTTGGATGAGATGTGTGTGTACACTTGTACGTACCAGTAAACATTCTCAAACATGAACACAGAGAGGGGTCAGTGAGATAGCTCAGCAGACCAAAGCGCCTGTTTAGGTGAGCTTAGGCAAGTGCAGGGACCACAGTTCGATCCCCAGCACTGCATGCCACACCAGCCCTGCCCCCAGAGCAGCTGAGCCAGCCAGAGTCCAGGCACAGTGGTGCACACCTGTAATCCCAGCACTGGAGAGGTTGAAAACACTATGAGCCTTAGCTGCATAGTGAGACCTTATAACAACCAAATGCATTAAAAAAAAAAAAAAAAGCCACAGAGCAAGCACCAAACAAAACCTATCAAAACATTACTATAGGGGCTGGCGAGATGGCTCAGTGGTCTAAAGCACCTACTTGGAACAAGCTTAGCAAAGCACAGGGACCGCGGTTCAATCCCCCAGTACCACATGCCAGCCAGCCCCACCCCCTGGTGGGCTGAGCTGGCCACACACACACACACACACACACACACACACACACACACACAAAATAAATAAATAAATAAATAAATAAATAAATAAAAAACAAAAAACATTACTATAGCAATGTTGTGGAAAAGTGATGGCTCCTACTTTCCTGTGCATTATATTTTTCCAGGCTAAGGATGGAAGACAGGGCCTCATACACGCTCTGCACACATCACCGCTGAGCTACACTCTCAGCCGCTCAGCAAACGTCACCTTCTGTACAGAACTTTGTAACCACTCTGTACTTGGTGGGCCACTTGGCTCCACTGCAGCTACTCAGCTGCACATGGCAGCCATACACCACGCAGAAACCAAAGATCTGTGCACCAGTGACACTTAGTCACAGACACTGACATCCAAATTTCACAGAATCTTCCTATGTCATGGATCACCACTTTTTTCAACCAGTTGAAAATGTAAAAACCATTCTTACCTCTGGCTGTGCAAGCACAGGCAGGGCCAGAAGGAGCCTGTGAGTACTCTTTGGCCAACACCAGCTCCAGCAGGTTCTGGGTCAAGGTGGATCTACCCTTCCTGCTACAGTTAGTAAGTCTAGGCCTATTTCAAACCAAGGCCCAGCAACAGATCCCTTGTCCCATTCTTCTCTCATCTAACCTCTCCCTACATGTGCTACACAGAGGAAGCATGGGCTCTGGAGACAAAATACATGGGTTCAAGTTCTGCTGCTGTCACTTCCTAGCTGTGTGATCTTGGACCAGACCTTTACCTGCGCTGTGCCTCTGTTTATGCATCTGTAAGACAATGTTGTAATGGTAGCCATGTTATGCAGCTCTTGTTAGGACTGAACCAGTTCATATGTGCTATGGTTTGAATGTGTCCCCCAAGATTTACATGCTGGAAATTCAATCCCCAAATCCAACGCATGGTATTCTTCTTCCTCTGGAGAAGAATCGGGGACAGATGAGGCCATCAGGGTGGGGCCCTGTTGTGGCTTTGCAGGAAGAGCAAGTGAGATCTGAGCTGGCAGCTTGCCATCTCCCCATAACACCCTGTGCTGTGCACAAGGCCTTTACCAGGTAAAAGCCCCATGTTCTTGACTGTGTGATAAACAAACCTATGTTCTTAATACATTTACCCCCTTTGTGGTATTCAGTGACAGCTCAGAAAACAGATTAAGACAATCTACAATGGAGAAACCAAACCATGCCTGCCACACAGGAAACACCACGCAACCGTTACCATCACTACAGTGCTTCCCATGGGGAACTCACCTGAGACAAACCTGTACTTCTGCCTGAAGGAATCTTTCCAGTGACCCTGGACTGGAGCAGGCTGCCTGAGGAGAAGGGCAGTGGCACTGAAGGCCTGGCCCCTTGCACTCGGCCACAGTGCCTGGAGAAGCTGCCACACCCACCTCCCGGAGCTGCTTGATGACCAAGGGCACCCCATGTCTCTGCCCTCGGTACACATCAGCACAGGTGCCGCTGCTGATCCTGAAGCTTGGGTCGAAGTCACTGGTTGCCTGGACTACATCTGCCTCGCTCCAGAGAAGGTCATCTACAGAACCGCTCAGAAGTCTTTCTTGCTTAGGAACAGAAGTGCTGAAAGTCTGAGAATCCAGAAAAAAGATGCAGAGATTACCCATGGAGGCTTCTTTCATCTGCTACCCCAGGGGACCCTGAACACCAGAGCTGAAAGGATGGAGGGGATGTGATGAAAAGGATGTGGATAAGCCAGGAGTGGTGGTACACACCTGTAACCCCAGCACTCAGGAGGCTGAGGCAGGAAGATCATTGGGAGTTCGAGACCAGCCTGGGGGCTACAAAAATTAGCTCAAGGCCAACCTGAGCTGCATAGCAAAACCATGTCTCAAAAAGAAAAAAAAAAAATGTGGACACCCCAATCTTAAATTCCAGCCCTGCCTCAAATTCTCCATGTCTTTGGATGAGTTACCCAACACCTCTCAATTGCAACTTCCCCATCACGAAAAATAAAAACTCCAATAGTAGTTTTCAGGGTAGCTCTGGAGACGTACTAAAATGTTGAGTATTCTGAGGGTCAAAGACCTGAAGAAGGGTCACTAAATGGCCAAGCTCCGTGCCCCAGTCCTACACACAAGCTACATATGCTGGGCCACCAGGTTTCAGCCAAGCAGGGTTCATACAACCAAATGAAATTCTCAGAGTTCTGTTTTTTTTTTTTTAACCTGGTACACACAGCATCTTATAAAGAGAAGCTCTGCTTCAGTAACTTCTCTTTCTAAAGGCAGGTGAACATAAATTTAAGATTTCTTAAAAGTTAGATGCTCTTTCCAAAAGCTTTAGAAACTTAGGGCTGCATTTTCTCCCTGTCCCCATGTATCTTCTTAAGTGCTATTAGTGTTGAGGGCATTTGCTGCCAACTAGAGGCATTAGGATGTAGCTACCAAAAATGCGAATGTGCTCTCCACATGTAGAGCCGGGTTTCCGTTTCCATGACATTGCATCATAATCATTCTCCCGTTTCCATGACATTGCATCATGATCATTCTCCC